TTTATTTACCCTTGTATAATATAAACAAGTTGCTACTTGTTACATAGTGTGAAATAGCAAAATGTAATGAAGAAGTATGGATTGTTTTAAAAGCTGTAAGAGCCCCCAATAAAATGATTTATAAAACATAAAGAATTCAACAAAGCATTACAAAAAATTACATCATAGTCTAGTGCAGCGGTTCTCAACCTGTGGGTTGTGAACCCTCTGGGGGGTCGAACGACCCTTTCACAGGGCACGCCCAATTCATAACAGCAGCAAAATGACAGTTATGAAGTAGCAACAAAAATAATTTTATGGTTGGGGGTCACTACCACATAAGGAACTGTATTAAAGGTGGCAGCATTAGGAAGGTTGAGACCCACTGGTCTAGTGGGAGTTATACGAACTATGCAAGGATGGTTTAATATCAGGAAAAAAATCAATGTAATCCACCACATAAACAAAAAGGATAAGAAAAATATGATTATATCAATCGAGGCAGAAAGGTATTGATAAAATTCAACATTTAGTCTTGATTAAAAACATGCAATAAAATAGTAATAGAAGGGAAATTCCTCAACATAATAAAGGACATATATACTCACTTAATGGACAGAAATTGAAAGCATTTCTCCTTCAAACGGGATCCAGATAGAGTTGTCCCTTCCCACCACTCTTATTTAATATAGTCCTAGAAGCCTTAGCAAGAGCTATGTCAAAAAGATATTAAAGGCATCTGTATTGGTACAGAAGAAACAAAGTCTCTCAATTTGCAGATGATATAATCCTATACAGAGAAAACTACAAAGATGCAATTTAAAAATTACTGCTCCTTCCCCCCAGCCCCAGGGAGACAAACAACAGAAACATGGGTGAAGGGAGACAGCAGACAATGTAACATATGAAAATAACAATAACTTACAATTTATCAAGGGTTCACAAGGGTGGGATGGTGGGGGAAGGAGGGAAAAAAGAGGAGCTGACCTAGATGGTGCCCAGTGACTCCTACCAACTGCTTTGGTGATCACACTAGAAGGTTCTAGAGGAACGGTTCTCAACCTGTGGGTCGCGATCCCTTTGGTGGTAGAACGACCCTCTCACAGGGGTCACCGAATTCATAACAGTAACAAAATTACGTTTATGAAGTAGCAACGAAAATAATTTGATGGGGGGGGGGGGCCCCTGCATTAGGAAGGTTGAGAACCACTGTTCTAGAGTGAGTGGGAGAGAAATGTAGGAAAAATTTCAAAATTACTGAATTCAAAATTCAGGATTACTGATCTGATATCAACTACTGGGACACCCAGGACCATGCCTTTGGGGTCAAAGGGCAGCATTACAATGTGGGGATGCCCATCAGTGAGATTAACCAAAATATGCATAGAAGGCTGAATGGAAAACTGAGGGTCTGCTCTGGAAACATTCACCCGATTTACAATAAAAAAACATAAACAAAACCAAACCAAAAAAAAGAGGAACTGAAACCAAGGACTCAAGTATAAAGAAAAAGTTTTGAAAATGATGGTGGCAACTTATTTACAAATTTGCTTGATACAATTGATGTATAGATTGTTATAAGCACTGTTTAAGAGCCCCCAATAAAATGATTTATTAAATAATAAAATAATAAATTACAGGGATTAGTTGAAAATTTTGGCAACGTGATAGCCTATAAGATCAATATACGATTCACTGACTCACTCTCTCACTCACTCACTCTCATTCACTGACTCACTGTCTCACTCACTCTCATTCACTGACTCACTGTCTCACTCACTCACTCTCATTCACTGACTCACTCTCTCACTGTCTCACTCACTCTCATTCACTGACTCACTGTCTCACTCACTCACTCTCATTCACTGACTCACTCTCTCACTCACTCACTCTCATTCACTCACTCTCACTCCCTCCCTCACTCTTACTCACTCCCTCACTCACTCACTCTCTCACTCACTCTCATTCACTGACTCACTCTCTCACTCACTCACTCTCATTTACTGACTCACACTCACTCACTCTCATTCACTCTCACTCACTCACTCTCACTCACTCACTCTCATTCACTCACTCACTCACTCTCACTCACTCACTCTCACTCACTCACTCACTCTCATTTACTGACTCACACTCACTCTCTCACTCACTCATTCACTGACTCACTCTCACACAAAAAAATAATAATAAAAAGATCAATATACAGTTGGATTCTAGTATATTAAAGATGACACCAAAAGGGAAAATAAAAGAATAATACCATTTATAATAACTACTAACAAGCTGGAGATCACGTGATAGAATTTTGCAAAACCAGCGACTTGTTCATAGCAAATACCTTTTTCCAACAACACAAAGGTGGTAACTATACACATGGACATCCCCAGATGGAATACACAGAAATCAAATTGACCACATCTGCTGGAAGTCACAATGCAGAAGCTCATTATCAGCAGCTAAGACCAGACCAAGGTCACATTATGGAACAGAACATTGATTGTTCATATGTAAGTTCAGGATAAAGCTAAATAAAAGGAAAGTCCAGAAGATCCAAAATAGGTCCTTGAGTCTGTCCCACCTGAATTTTGAGAACATCTCAAGCACAGATTTGACTAATAACATAACACTAGTGACAGAAGACCTGATGAACTATGGGAGGGCATCAAGATCGTTCATGAAGAAAGCAAAAGATCATAAAAAAGACAGTAAAGAAAGAACAGATCAGAGTGGATGTCAGAAGAGACTCTGAAACTTGCTCTTAATCATAGAGTAGCTAAAGCAAATGGAAGAAAGGATGAAGTCAAGGAGCTGAATAAAAATCTCAAAGGGCAGCTTGAGTAAACAAAGCCAATATTATAATGAAATGCTCAAAGACCTAGACTTAGAAAACCAAAAGGGAATACACACTTGGCGTATCTGAAGCTGAAAGAAGTCCAGGAAAAATTCATGCCTCAAGTTGCAATCTTGAAAGATTCTATAGGGCTCACTACTTTTGCCCTTTTGGTGGTGTAGACCCCCTGGGGGCCTGTCTCCAGATCCTAACTTTACTGCTCCATAAACCTCCTGTGTGCCGCTTCAAACGAACGAAAGAACAAAAGAAGGAAAGAAAGAAAGATTCTACAGGCAAAATATTAACTGATGCAGGAAGCATCAAGAAAAGATGGAGACAATACAGAGTCACTCTACCAATAAGAACTAGTTAACATTCCACCATTTCAGGAGGTAGTATATGAATAAGAACCAATAGTGCTATCGGTAGAAGTTCAAGCTACACTAAGTGTATTAGCCAAAAACAAGGCTCCAGGAATTGATGGATCTGTTAATAAATACCAAAAGGGCATACCACTCTGCTGTAAGCCTCTACCCAAAGGCATTCATCTCAAACAATAAGGAAAAATATATACATAACTTTAAAACAAAGTTTACATTTTTGAGAGAGAGAGAGACAGAGAGAGAGAAAGAGGTCACGGCCTTAAGAATCCTCCAGATTCCTTAAATTCATATAAGTTAATCACAAAAGCACAAATAAGGTATGATTCTACTTATATAGCTGGAACAGGCAAATGTATATATATTAAATTTTCTTCGTGGCTACCAAGGGTGGGAGCAAAGGGAAACAGGGACCATTGTTTACAGGTACTGAGCTTAAGCTTAAAGTTAAAGAAATTTTGGGGAATAGTTAAATGTCTAGCAAGTGAATTGAATTAATGTCACTGAAGTGAACATATACACACATGTTGAAAAAAATACTGAAATAGGAAAACACTTCTGCAATTCTAATCTAGTCTTGATAAATGTGAAATCTCTGAAGACAGAAAACAGATGAATTTCTATTTATGAGGACTTCAAAAAGCTTGTGGAAAAATTCCATTATCATTTAATGGAATTTTTCATGAACTTTTTGAAGTCTCCTCAGAGATAGCACATTTTTTGATAAAAATCTGTACTAATGGCAGTCATTTAAAAGATCAAGCTTTTAGAAAACATTAAAATAAACTTCTGGTATTGGAAATGGAAAGTGGAAAAAGATAAAGGGCTTTTTTTTTTCTAAATCATTTTATTGGGGACTCATACAATTCTTATCACAATCCATACATACATCAATTGTGTTAAGCACATTTGTACACTCGTTGTCTTCATCATTCTCAAAATATTTGCTCTCCACTTAAGCCCTTGGTATCAGCTCCTCATTTTTAGGTAAATGGCTCTTTTAAAAAATAAGACTCTAAGTTCGATTTTAGAAACATAAATCATTTAGTGTCAGAGTAACCAGCCTCTGACAATATCGGGTCCATAGGCACAATTTTTGGCAATAATATATTATAGGAGAGAGAGTAAAATAAAGGAGTCAGACAAATTTCATGGCAGTATGCTCACGTCTGGGACGGCCATGATCTCAGCAGCCAGGTCTGCGCAGAGAGCGGGAGGAGGAGAGCAGAGGAGCCTCTTTAGTTCTGACCACGGCCTGTATATACTTAGGGGCATGCAAGCCCCACTGATTACAGGGAATTACATACGTCACAGGAAGGGGTTCTACGATAGGCCTACATGTCACTGGAAGGGGATGAGCTAGGGGTGTACAAGTAATAGGAAGGGGAGGGATTAGGGGTACATATGTGACAAGATGGGCGGACCCTAGACTCAAGATGGCAGCCTAACCTTGGTCACCCCTGAGTGGGATTGACCTTGTGTCTGGGCTCTCCAGGGAGGTGACCCACTATCCTTATGAGAAGAGAGTGGGCCCTACTTAGGGTGGGAATAAACAATAGTGTCTGATTGCTCTAGATGGCTGATAACCCTCAGGGAGAATAACCTCTCAGCAGTTTGCATTGACCTCCAAGTGAGCAGTCATTTACCATGTACAGCAAGCTACATCTTAGATTTGGCAAATATTTGGGGGGAGACAATCTGGGGAAAAACCATTTTGCATCCCACAATTTAGATATAAATTAAAATGTTTTCATGGATAAAGTCTTTATTACTACTTACTTACTATTACCACCATAAGCCAAAGATAATACCTTGGGTTGAGGAAAGATGCTGCTCCTGCAGCTTCTCCTGAGAGAGGAGTCCCAAGTAGCTGAGAACAACATACTTTGTTTCATAGTGAAATCCTGGAGGCACAGCAGCAGAGGACGCCATTGAGGTGGCTGGCAGAACTCCAAAGGGGTCTACTTTCAGATGTAAAACCTAGAAACATAAAACATTTTTTTCAGCTTAAAATGTATTATATTTGGGAGCATTTTCCTGTAATTGACCCCAATTACCCAACTCTATCATAAAATCGATATTTATCAGTTTCTTTCATAGTAATTGTAAAAAACATGAGTTTACTTATATATCTATTTAGAACTGGGAATTTATTCAGACTTCAGATGAAAAGCAAATTTTTATTCCCCTTTCTACAGAGCCCTGGTGTCCTAACAGTTTGGGCTGCTCATGGAAAGGTTGAGAGCCAAGAAATGAGTTGGAATCCCCATGACAGCAACAACCAACTCTCTTTGAAGTTTTTCACTTCTCACCTATCTAGTGAAAACACCATTTTACTCCTGGCCCCCAAGCTCTCCTTTAAGTCTCCCATAGTATATGTCCTCTTGTTTCTTTTACGAATAAAACCTCCAATATTTGAGCTAGCTAGGCCCATGGCCATATAGCTGCAGACATTTCCCGGAGGAAAAAGACAAGTCTCTTGGCGAGGGAAAAAGGAAACAGATATCACACAAGGTTTTTAAAGGAATATCAGAGCCAATGTTAGAACATGAGTTGTTCCCTAATCAAACCGAGTAGGAAAGTAGTCTAATCTTCTTCAGACGTAAATTTGAAACCAGATGAAGCAATTAAAAAACTAACGAGTAAGATATAAGGCGATTCAGCAAGAGGCATCAGCATTTGTTGTGTCTTGTACATCTTGGAATGCTAAGTTTGGGTTTTCTGTATTGTCATTGTTAGGTAAGGTGCCCTCAAGTCAGTTCCAACTTATAGCAAACCAATCAATGCACAACACAACAAAATCTTGGCTGGTTCTAAGCCATCCTCACAATTATGTTTGAGCCCACTGCTGCAAGTCTGTGTCAACCCATCATGCTGAGAGTTTTGTTCTTTCCCTGACCTCCATTTAACGTCCTTTTCCAGAAAACGAGTCCTTTCTGCTAACATGTACAAAGTAAGTGAGACAACTGCACCATTCTTGCTTCTAGAAATGATTCTGTCTGCACTTCTTCCAAGACAGACTTGTTTGTTCTTCTGGCAGTCCGTTATATGTCCAATATTCTTCAACAATACCATAATTCAAATTTTCTCTGGTTTTCCTAACTCACTGTACAACTTTCACATGCATAAGAGGTGACTGAAAATAACCATGGCATGGGTCCAGAGCTCCTTAATCCTTGCTCTTTGACCTAAAGAAAGAATTTGCAGATTTGCTGAATGCAATACTTAACTCTTTGGCTGCTGTTTCTATGGACCTTGCTTGTGGATCCAAATAAAATCGTTAACAACTTCAATCTCTTCCATTTATCAGGAAGTACTTGATTCAGTTGTGAGGATTTTAGTGAGTTTTAATCCACAGTGAGGGCTGTAATCTTTGATCTTTATCAGTAAGTGCTTTTTGCTTTCAGCAAGCAAGGTTTTATCATCTGCATAGTTCACGTTGTTAATAAGCCTTTCTCTGATCCTGATGTCACATTCTTCTTAGAGTCCAGTTTGTCCGAAGATCTGCTCAGCATACAAAATGAGTAAGTACAGTGAAAGGATACAATTCTGACATACCCCTTTTCTGATTTTAAACCATGCAGTAATCTCTAATTTTGTTCTGGTACCATATGATCACAATGAAGTTTACTGGAAATCCCATTCTTCACAGTATTATACAGTTTGTTGTAATACACTATTGAAAATCTTTGCATAGTCAATAAAACACAAGTTAACATCTTTCTAATATTCTCTACATTCAACTAAGGCCCATATGTCATCAGAATGATATCCCTTATTCCACATTTTCTTCTGAATCCAGCTTGACTTTCTGACAGCTTCTTGTCCATGTACTGCTGCAACTATCTCTGAATTATATTCAGCAAAATTTTACTTGCATGTAATATTAATAGTTTGATAATTTCCGCATTTTGTTTAGTCATCTTTCTTTCTAATGGGCATAAATGTGGATCCCTTTCAGTAAGGTGGCCAGGTTGCTGTCTTCCAAACTTCCTGGCACAGATTAGTGTTTCCAGCACTGCCTGAGTTTCTTTAAACATTTTCATTGGTATTCCACTAAGTCTTAGAGCTTTTTCACCAATGCCTCCATTTCCCATCGACGTCATCAGTTTTTGATCAGATGCTACCTCTTGAAATGACTAAATGCTGGCCGGTTCTTTATCCTTGCTTCCTGTGATACCCTTCAATCTCGGAGTACGAGGGTTCAATGTTTTCTTCGATTCTCTCAGTGTGAGAAATGTGGAATGTGTTCTCCTCTTTTGGTTTCTTAACTCCAGGTCTTTGTACATTTCATTATAATACTTTGTCTAATCAAGCTGTCCTTTGAAATGATCTGTTCGGCTCTTTTACTTCATCATACTTGACCATATACTATTCACTTCGGCTGTTCTACATTCAAGTGCAAATCTCATAATCCCCTCTGATACCCGCTTTCCTGTCTTTTTAATAAACATTTTGCTTTATTCATGTATGATGTTTAATGTCACCCCATAACTCATCTGGTATTTGGTCATTAGTTGTTCAATGGGCTATAAGCTAGTTTTTAAATGGTCACAAATTCGGGAAGGATATACTCAAAGTTATAGTTTGTTTTCATTTTCTTCAGCTTCAATTTGAACTTGTATATGAGCAATTGATGATTTGCTCTACAGTCAGACCTTGGCCTTGTTTCAGTTGATAACACTGAATTTCTTTGTCATCTCTTTCCACATGCTGTCAATTTGATTCCTGGGTGTTCCACCTGGGGAGATCCACATGTATGGTCACCATTCATGTTGGGGAAAAGGAATTTGTAATGAATGTCATTAGTCTAACAAAATTGTATCATGCAAATTCTGGCATCACCTCTATCATTAAGGTCCTATTATTCAACTACTGAACCTTCCTGTTTGTTTCCAACTTTGGCATCCCAATCACCAGTAACTACCATTGCAACTAGTTTACATGTTTGATCAATTTCAGACCAAAGAAGTCAAATTTTTCAATTTTTTCATATTGGCTTTAATGGATGATAATAAACTTGAATAGTTGTATTATCTGGGCTTATTTATAGGTATAAATATTACCCTATCAAGACATTACAGTGTAAAACATGGCAAAATAATAAATTATAAATTATCAAGGGTTCGTGAGGGAGGGTAGGGGGAAAATGAGGAGCTGATACCAAGGGCTCAAGCAGAAAGCAAATGTTTTGAGAATGATGATGGCAACAAATGTGCCTGACACAATGGATGTATGTATGGATTGTGATGAGATGTACGAGCTCCAAAGCCATCAGTCACTCCCAAGAAAGAAAAAAAGAGGCATTCTGTTCACAAAAAGATGTATCCCCTTGGGAACCGAAAGGGACAAATCTATTCTGTTCTGTAGTTACTACAATTTGGAATGACTTAGATGACAATGGAAATGATTTTCGGAAGGAGAAAGGAAGAAAAGCAGTGATTTTCAATGAGAAGTTACTTTCAGAATTTCAGGAGGGATAAAGTAAGATAATCTGAAGCATATTCCATATCCAATTTCTTACTTGGATAAGGAAAAATTATCAGATTATTTTTCAAATTACAAAGAAGAGAAAAGTACAGTAAATCTTCCATCTTACCTGTATCTGCGATTCTCAGTGGAGGGATATGAGACAAGAATAACTACTTTCTTAGCAGAATAGGAGCCAGATTTTTATTATTAAAAACGTTTCTGTTGTGGAATACTGATGTAATCTGAAAAAGAAACATAGTTAGAATTTAGAGCAATACTAACATGTACAAAGTGGTCAAAGATGAGAAAAGGAGACTTCTTGGTGGAGCGTGAAACAGACAGCAAGGGCGGAAGAACACCCGGAAAAGCATGTTGTCACAGAAGCCAGAGAGGCATTTCAATAAGAGAAAGTGGACACGTGTGCCAAATGCAATGATACATCAAGAAGAATAAGGATGATGAGTAAACATGTAGAACCTACGTTAACGCCACTGAACTAACTGTACATGTGAAGAATGTTGATGTGGCAAATATTTTGTAACATATATATTTACTCCTTTTTTAAAAAAGGAGAACCAACTGAATTTAAGCATTAGGAAGTTATCTGTGATCTCCGGCAAACAGCTTTGGTTGGTAAAGTGAGAAAGTAGGGAGGGGAAGAATGAATGGCAAGTAAAGTAGAAAAGTAGGGAAAATGAGATGCAGTCTTCTTTCAAAGGAAAAAAATTTCTTTGAAGAGAAAAAGAATGGAGGTCAGAGAAACAAAATGGTGCCTATGTCCATTTGTTTACGCTGTTTTTAACGTAAGCCTGTTTATGCTCATTAAGTAGTAAACAAAACAAGGAATAAGTAATGAAATTAAATCATAAAAGAAAAAGAACTAATCAGTAATAATTTAAGCTTTAAAAGTCTATTTGTATGGTAACAAAAACAGAGAAAAATATTCCTATTTTGATTAATGCTTTAAAGAAAAAAAGTTCTCTAATTTGCTATAAGTAAATGTCTTAGATTTATCAAAAACCCTTATTATTGAAATGACTTTTACTCACTCCTCCATCTAGATGTCAAGACTAAGGATCTTTTACCTATTTCCTAAAATTGAGTTTTAGTCTAACGCTCCTCAAGTTTTCTTACAAATTTCAATTGATAAATTACAAATGCAATTGATCATAGATTGCGTTAACTGGCCATCTTCCACATTCTCTCATTTATAAGTCCTTAGTTCTGATATAGATGCTAGATGTTAACAGACATAGACCACATATTTGGTGAATCATAATAGTCATATGCTATATAATGTCCACTGGGGCAATATCTGAGTGCTTAAATATTGATGTGCCCATAATGTTATGAGTTCAGAAATCACAGTTGGAGAAGAGCAAACAGGGGATGTACATAAGGAAACCAAGAGCTTTCTACATGAAAGACATGTATTTCCTATTTCTTGTTTACAAAATAACTGAACTGCCAGGCTTACAAAGGTACACTCTATATATAAAACCTATAATACATATGGCTTGATAGAAATAAACATCTATGTGTTTTTTATGTACTTTTATATGCATTGTAGTGTATATATATATATATTTTAATCATTTTATTGGGGGCTCATACAACTCTTATCATAATCCATACATACATCAATTGTACAAAGCACATTTGTACATTCGTTACCCATTGTACTATATTTTCTACCTAAAAAGTTTACTGTTTAACAGTGTATGCTTTGGCTTGTAGGCAGCAGTATCATATCAAATGCATCTGAGTCTCTTGAATGTTGTACTGTTATCCCTGTTTAACTTTCTGTCAAACCTATGGCTATGAAGTGCACCACAATTCCTAAATGCAGCAAAACAAATGCTAGTAATAGCAGAGCCAGAGTCAAAGGCAAAGTAGCCATTTGGAAGTTAAACAAAAGGTTACAACATACCACAAAGGTGAGAAAAATCTGTAAATCTTCACAATTTAGGCATGTCACACTCAACAATCAAGATCCTCAAAAAACAAAGAAAAACTATCCAAGTGTTAAAGCATTAGTGCCAATGAAATCTACAAGTCTAAAGAAAACGTGACAGAGACTGTATCAGATATGGAGAAATTGCTAATGATGTGGCTTGAGGACCAAATACAAAAGTTTATCGATCCCTCTTAGCATGTTGATGATCACTGACAAGACACAAAGCTTGTTCATGAAGCTTAAAAAAAAGACCAGAGTATGATATGGTGTTTGCACAGGTCCAAATCACATAATTGTCCTATTTCAAAGAATATATTGTGAACATTAAGTAAGACATGACTGCAGTTCTCAATGATTCCCACTAAATAGAGAACATGATCAAACTCTAATCCTTTAAGCTTTAGTTTTTAAAACTTTAAATGTGTATTTGACATTCTAGTTATAAACATGCCATACTTACAATATTCACCCAACTTCTAATTCCACTTGTTTCTAGTATAGCAGTAAATCAACTCATTCAAACCTGTGATTAGACAGATGATAGGCTAGGCAGATTTCTGGATCACTATTATATGTCTAATATGTTTGGATTAAATTACATAATAAAGCTATTAAGAACATGCCAATGAGTAAGCTCCATAGTAGTACCACTATGTACTACTACTACTACTACAACAAAGTACAGCACTACTCTTAAAGAGTATTCTGGGAAATGAGTATCCACTTCCCTTGCAACATTCTGAAATGCATCATTATCACATTGTACAATGGGCTTTTGTATTTCTAACAAACACTACAAATAAAGTACATCTTCACTATATCTTTATTTCCAAAACACTTTACGATGTGTTGAAGGGGCCCTGGTGGCGTAGTGGTGACTCGTACATCAGCAGTTCAAAATCATCAGCCGTTCCAAGGGATAAAGGTGTTTTCTACTCTTTTAAAGAATTAGTGTGTCCCCAGAACAAAAAATCATGTCAATGTGAATGGGGTGGGGAGTGCGGAGTGGAAAGCCAAAGCCAATCTGTAGGCAATTGTATATCCCCTTACAATTGTATTTTTGTAAGGGGATATACAATTTTCCCCGATCTCAAAATTGACAGCTTTGCTTATCATATCATATGCATATCATACAGATATACAATTGTATATCCCCTTACAGAAAGGTTATGGGGAGGAGACGGGCCAGTCAGGGTGCAGTATAGCACCAATGAAACATTCAGCTTTCCTTTAATTCTTTAATGCTTTCTCTGCCCCTACTATCATGACCTCAGTTCTACCTTACAAATTTGGCTAGACCAGAGCATGTATACGAGTACAGATGAGAGCTGGAAACACAGGGAATCCAGGACAGATAAACACCTCGGGACCATGAGAGTAACCATACCAGGAGGGTAAAAGGAAGGTGGGGGATAGAAAGGGGGAACCGATCACAATGATTTACCTATAACCCTCTCCGAGGAAGATTGACAGCAGAAAAGGGGGTAAAGGGAGACATCGGTCAGTGCAAAACATGAAAATATAATAATTTATAAATTATCAAAGGTTCATGAGGGACACAGGGCAGGGAAAGGAGGAGGAAAATGAGCTGATACCAAAAGCTCAAGTAGAAAGAAAATGTTTTTTAAATGATGGCAACAAATATACAAATGTGCTGGATACAATGGATAGATGGATGATGAAGAGCTGTATGAGTCCCCAATAAAATGACTTATTTAAAAGAGAAATTAGTCTGTCTTAGAAACCTATGGAACAGTTCTACCCTGGCCTAAAGGGTTGCCATGAGTTGGCACCGACTCCATGGCAGTGAGTTTGGTTCTTTCGGGGGGTGGGGTATTGCCACAGTAACCTTCTATGCCTAAAAAAACAAGGTAATATATCTACTTCTCACATCCACAATCTCGTTTTCTAACACTATGCATTTTTGTCAATAGGGAAAAAAATCTACTACTTGACTATTTTGTGCATTAATGACATGTTTGACAGTAACAAATGCCAAAGTGTGAGGGGAGAGTAATGCTGGGTTGGTTAAGGTTATATTTCTTCTTAGCTAGCCCATAATTCTAAGTGGTTTAAGAAATATATAATGATGACGTTTGATATACTGTATGTGTGATTATGTAGTCATCCTCCATTTTTGCATAACACAGATTTTCATATAACAACCTGGTCTTTGCAACCTACTTATGGCAATAAGGAGTGGATGTAGTCTCGACTTTATAAAAGAAACCGGAGGAGACAATTTGCTCAAGATCAAAAAGCTAGTTAGCAACATGATCACTTGGTTGGTACATTCTCTTAATTTCCTAACTCTTAGCCTTTACCCACATTCATTCAACATAAATTTACTGCATGCCAGCAATGCGCTGGGCACGAGGAAGGCAGAGGTGAAATAGCAACACTGGTAAAAGAGTGCGAGCAATGGCAGTAAAACAGTCTCTCTCCTAATATTAGTTGGGAGTATTCCAAAAACTGAGCACTCAGAGAGCTAAGCAAAGCTGTCAATTTTGAGATCGGGGAAAAGAAAGACAAAACAGGAAAATAAAATAGATGGAAGATAAATATGACCCAGGGAACTGCCATCCAGGCGCCAGAGCTTTCCTGGAAGCTCAGGCCCTTCCCACTATTGCCTCACCAGCACAAGCAGAGCAAGCTCACGTCCAAAAGACAGGTATTTCAAGCTTCTTTTTAAATAATGAAAAGGACACAGTTCCTTTTACACTTAAAATGTTACTTACTAGAACCTTTTCCAAGTAAATACTAGGGCTCTCCTATAAAAAATGGATCAAATATATGAATACTTTTAAATACAAAAGTATTTGTACAATTCAAAACCTGTGACTTGTTTCTTTCCCTGCCAGTCTTTTCGTTTGTTCATGTAGTTGTAAGTCAAATAGTCAAGACTGAAGCATAGGTTAACTTAATTGTTTATATATTAATTTGGTGACATCGCTGCAACTACTAATAAATAAAACACTAAGATCCTTCAATAATAAAGACACTATCTATAATCCTACAAAGAACGATTTTTTTTCTTCCCATTCCAACCAGGTTTCAATTACGGACATTAAAAAAACCCAATCAGTCACTTCTGACTAACAGTGATTCTATTAACAGAGTAAAGCTGCCAAATCCAGAGTTTCCAAGGCCGTAATTGCCATAGATGTGGACTGCCACGTCTTTCTCCTGCAGAGCAGCTGGGGGTTCAAACAGCCAACCTTTCAGGGATCAGCCAGAGCACTGAGCCACTGTACCAGCAGGGCTCCATTCAATATGACTCTGCCATCGAATCAGTGTCCCTTATAGGGAGGGTAGAACTGCCCCTGTAGGTTTTCAGTGACTCAAACTCTAATTAGAGTTAAGAAAGCTTCCTCTGTCTGCCCTGGAGCACTTGGTAATTTACAACTGTTGTATCTTGCTGTTAGCAGCTACAGGTAACCAGAGCTCTCCTTTCAAATACACTAGTGCAAATTCCAGGATGTCAGCACTGATAGTAGGAGCCCTGGGAGCACTGTGTAGGACTGTTAACCCCAAGTCAGCAGTTCAAACCCTTCAGTCACTCCACAGGTGAAAGATGTGACCATGTGTTCCAGTGAAAATTTATAACCTTAAAAACCATGTCGGTCACTCTGCATTGGAATTGATGATAGCTGTGGTTTTCATTTATTTATTTATTTTTGCTGCCCCCATTTCCCCGAAAATAAGACCTACTTACAGTTTTGCCTCTTGCTGAAATATAAGGCATCCCCCCGGAAATAAGCCCCACCCCAAGCTACCATAACTCTGGACTGTAGTGGCAGCGGGCACCGCTGCACAGCTCACTGTTGGCCGCAGCACAGCAGGAGCAGACAGGAAATGCAAGGTCTCTTTTCATAAAACAATAAATGTGTACCGTATTCTTCTTCATGGAAAACTAAGACATCCCCAGAAAATAAGACCCAGCGCATCTTTGGGAGCAAAAATTAATATGATACTGTCTTATTTTCGAGGAAACAGGGTAGTTGTGTGAGATAGTTTATTGTGCCAGTACTATTTTTAATACTGCAGAAGTTAAAGGCATTTTATTTATAAACTATAGCCAGAAGGTATGCAGCAAATATTGAATACTACTGTAATTTTTTTTTCTCCTGTAAAATCTGAGGAAAAGCAAACTTGCAGCAACGTCAAGGTCTTTTGTAGTTTTTCTTCCATTTTTGTCTGCTGGTTAAAAACAGGAACTCCTAGCACCCACCTCAGGCACACTAATTTAGAATATCATACTTAACACAACAGGACAAGAATCAAAATATATTATAATTTACATTTTTTAATTACTTACAATTATGTTAGGAAATTCTTTTATTTTCAACTATTTATTTCCACTAAGAAAATAACATACTAAGATTGTTAAATACGCTAGTGACAGAGCTGAACACATTCCATAACACCCATCAATAAAGAAAAATTAAAATTCACAAATCCAGTCAAACTCTGAAATTTTATACCTTAAAAGTTTCTTGGCTCCCAAAACTCTCCTCTCAAGGCTCACTGGTACTGTGAGCAGGGAATTTTTAAAAGGTATAGCCAGTCAGAGGAAATCCACTGGGTGTACTCTTTAACTCTTGCTCTATGAGTTCCTAAGGAATCCAGTTAGTGCTGCCAGACTCCTGGTGCCTGGAGAGCACACAACACAGAATCCAGGGCTTTCTCTAAAAGCAGCAAAATTGAATAACCCTAATAAAGCCTCAGCCCACCCAGCTCAAAAATGCCACGGAGCCAAGGTACTGTTTAAAGAACTCAGTCCCACTTTCAGTACTGTTACGTAGACGCCCTTCTTCCAAATGAACACGCACGCCCAAGAGAAACCCTCTAGTTCAGCCTGTGGCGCTGCCTCAAACTATGTTCACTCAGCAGTTGACAATTCCAGGTAAAGTATGTCGAGAAGGCCTCACTCTCTGTTCTCTTCCCACACAAGCCCCATTCAAAAATCTGCTCCCCACAATAATCAGACTTCCCATTTCTGAGTCTAAAGCTTGTGCATAGAAAACCCCAACAATGTAAATGTCACCAAAGACAAAGTCAAAAACTGATATAAAATCTAGTTACTTTGTTTCATTCCCTGGTATACACCCGAGAAATGAAAGCACTTGTCTATACAAGAACTTAAAACACACGTTGTTAACAGCTTTACTCATTATTCAGAGTCCAAAAGTACAAACAACCTAAATTAACTGATGAACACTAAATAAGATGTGGGATATATGTACCAGGGATATTATAACCTGCCTTATAGAAAAGAATGACGTACTTATACATGCTATAAATGGATGAACCCTGAACACATTATGTTGAGTGAAAGAAGTCAGTCACAAAAGACCAACTATTGAATGATTCCATTTACGTGAAATTTAAATAGACAAGCAGATTAGTGGTTAACTGGGATGGTGAGGTTGGGGTCTGGGCTAGTCATGGGTAATGACTACTATGGGGTGTGGTGTTTTTTTCTGGGGTAATGAAAATGGTTGCACCACCATAAATACGTAAAAACAACCTGAATTGTACAACTGGTGAATTATTTTGTTTTATCTAATTGTCCCAATGAAGCAGTTAAAAACAGTAACAAACAGCTACTCTGAAAATAGCCTCCCTTTGTATACATTAAACAGAAACATTTGGTGCTCATTTCTTTGATTGAGATCTGAATCCAAGCCATATTTGGAAAAGAAAAAGTGATAAAAAGCAGTGGGGGTTAGTTATTAAGTGCTTGTTTACACGTTTTGTATGTAAAAAAAATTTACAAAACATTTTTAAAAGGATATAACCATTGCTGCAAATCACTTGTCCTAAAAAAGCCTGCTGTGCAAGATACTTAACATTTATTAACTGATGAACTACTACACACACTTAATTACAAAACTGGCTGGCCTCAACCTTCCCGTCTTAAGTCGAATTCAACTTCTATGGAATTTTCCTCCACAAGAAAATGAATCATTAAAACAAACAAACAAAAATCAGAATGTACCTGCTGAGTCAGAGTAAAGAGAATTTTCAAAATGCTGTACTGCCTATTATCAAATGAAGAGTTCTTCAGGTTGGATCTGCAGGATATAAATGTGGAGGTACGAACGGCCAGCTGTGCGCATGGAGTCTAAGCAGTTCATGCAGTCTGACCTGACACTTCCCTAATTTTCCAAGTTAAAAAAAAAAAGGCACCAGCTGGGTTTGGCAACTCATCCAAGGTCACGCAAGTCAGGGCAGAGATCACCATTCTGGTTTTCTCCAGGGGGAAATCTTACTGACAATTTCGAGAAAAAAAGTTTTTTTTGCTGTTTTATTTTACATCATCTGCCCAAAAAGGGGCTGCGGGGAGGGGAAAAAATGATCATTTCCATTCAAAAGTTATGGCTATACAGTTGTGCGGGTACTGGTGAGGAGCTCACCCAAGCTACTCCCTGTGCAGAGCGTGTCAGCTAGTTAACTAGCTGGGTCGGCCGACTTCGACCCCTCGGCCTTGGCTCAGTCTCCCGGGCCCGGCCGCCTCACGCTGGGGGCCCGCGAAGCAACGCGGGGCCTCTCCCTCCTCTTAGGAACCAGAGGGAACGGGCACCTGGTGCCTCCGAGGGCAAGGCGGCCAGTTTTCCGGGAAAGATAACGCGCGACAGACGGACCAGCAGCCGATCTGGAGTAAGGCGCGCAGGAGCGCGAGAAGGAGCGAGCGCCTGGCAGCGCGGGGCGGCAATCGCCTCACGTGAGCCGCAGGGACGCTTCCCCGCGACCGGGAGACGTCCCCGTCCCCAGCCTGGCGCTGAAAATGGACCGGGGTCCCTCGGGAAGGAAGGGGTGGGGTGGAGGCGCGGGGGACAGAAGGTGGGCCCGCGGCCGTCCTCAGACCCCGCAGCGGGGCACGGCCGGCGGCATGAGACGCAGCCCTCGATGCGCCGGCTCGGCGAAGGGCTGCGGCGCGCGCACGCGCACGGGCTCGGGCCCGCTAGTCCCCTCGCTCGCTCACGCGACGCTGGGACCCCTGGGGAGCCGGTGGGGTCCGCGCCGTCGCCGGACCCCGTCCCACGCGGGGGAAGCGCCTCCTCGCCCAGCTCTGAGCGCCCGGAACCCCGCTCCCCTCACCTGGCCCTGGCCCCTGCCCCAGAGGAGATGCAAGAGGCGGCGGCGGCGGCGGCAGTTGCTTCCGACAGGGTCCCCCAGCGGCGGTGCCTGCTTCGACCCACGGCCCTAACCTACTGCCGCCGCCATGATGGAGGGTGAGGTCACCCCCAGCCCGCTTCCGTCACCCCCGGCGTGAGGGCGGGCCGGGGACGCCGAGGAGCGCGGGAAGGGGGCGGCTCTGCGCTCCCAAATGGAAGATCGGACCACTGAGGTCTGGAGGTGTCGTCGCGCAGACAAGACCCGGAAGAGCGGCCCCCCCTTCTAGCCCGCTCTTCCCCCGAGTCGCTCAACTCGATGATTCCTAGGACCGCGGAGGCGCCCTCTCCCTAAGTCACTTCCGGTCCTGGGGGACGCTCGCTCGGCAGTTCCTTCCGAGGGTTTTTTTCCCCCGCTCTGCGACTGGTGAGCTTTGAGCGCGAGTGCTGCGGCGCTGGCACCCACCCGTCGGCGATGGTAGCCCTGGAAGGTTGGCGAAGATTTCCAAGATGAGCAGAGACTAGGGAGCTTTCTCGAGTCTAGCGGTTCTCAACCTGTAGGTTGAGGGTCGAACGACCCTTTCACAGGGGTCGCCTAAGACCATCGGAAAACACATTTCCCGATAGTCATGGAAACCGAGACACCGTCATACGAGTACCCGTGTGAAGACTGTTATCCATGCACATGCTTCCAGACAAAATTTCATTTATTTGCCATTAGAAATAAATAGTTCATAATATATGTTCATATTGTTTGGGGGATGAATCACTATGCCTTAATGATGTTCAATTTGTAACAATGAAAATACATCCTGCATATCAGATATTTACATGGCGATTCCTAACAGTAGCAAAATTAGTTATGAAGTAGCAACGAAAATAATTTTATGGTTTGGGGTCACCACCACGTGAGGAACTGCATGAAACGTTTCGCGGCATGAGGAAGGTTGAGAACCACTGTTCTAGATGGAGGGAACTTCTTGAGCAGAGGATAAAGAGACCTCCGGTACGTTTTTACTAAATGGAGCAGAATCGAGGAAGTTAAGCTGCACCTAGCACAGTACCCGGAATAAGAACTAAATGCAACGCATTACTCGTACCGGGTGCTTACCGGGCATTCGTCTACCTGAGTCGTGGGCATAATGTCTGAACCGTGTTTGCGGTCAGGCTGACTGGTGTCCATCAAAGGATTCAGGAGCCCCCAACCGGAGGGAAACATGAAGGGAGCACAACACCAGCAAGGGGAGCACGGGAATCCCGGATATAGACTTCAGACTCGGAGGGCAGAACTAGGAGTTTTCTTGCTCACTGGTAAAATACAAACGTCCAGACTTACTCCGCCCCAAACCTGATCAGTCATTTCTCCAAGGGATCCTAAGTAAGGTGACCAGACGTCCCGCTTTTTAAAAAAGTCCCGACTTTTGGAAAGTATGCTCGACAAAGTCCCAATTTTTGGAAAGAATGGCTGACAAGCTTGGGAATGGCGGGAGAACGGGAAGACCAAATTTTTCATCAATAACCCCACCCACCCACCCACCCATCAATGGTGTCCCACTTTATCAATGTTAAAATCTGGTCACCTTATCCTAGTTCCTTTCAAAAATAATGTTTAGAAACCAAGATGTGGATATAAAATATCCCAGTAAAATATCCTTGATCACCTTTACTTCTAGAATCTTTCAATGCACAGGTCTAGGACATACATAGGTATATGTTTTTTAAGTCATGAATTCATCAATAGATACCTCTAATTCAAATATAAATAGCTGTATTTGAATAAAGCAAATATAATGTGTTTTTAAAATTTTTGTCTCACTGAAAATCTTGGTTCTTAATAATAAGATCCATTTATTGGCTTCATCCCACAACATACTTAAAATAATTTCAAAATTAATACATGGTTACTTGTATAATAAAACTAAAGTTTAAGGTTTCTTGACAATTTTTATGCCCATATATATTTGGGCATATGGGCATATATGTATATATAGTAAGGATTTACGGTCAGAGTTCTGTTTACAACATCCCATTTTATGTACTGTTTTCAGAGAACATCTTATAAAACCTAAAAACAACTACTAAACCCAATAAATAGGCTTAGCAAGGTCACAAGATAGAAAACTCTATTTAATTTCTATATTAGCAGCAAACAACTGGGAAGTTAAAAAATGTAGATAATCCATTTACAATAACAAAAAAATGAAAGGTTATTTTTTCAAAGGTCTTCAAAATCTATACAAGCTGTGCTGAGAGAATTAAGCTATAAATACGGAGCTATACCATGGGCAGAGATGAGAGGAACCAACTTTGTTAGAATATTAGTTATTCTAAATTGATCTCTGTATATTCAAAGCCATCACAAACAAAATCCCTACAGTCCTTTTTGTTTTATTAAAAGAGAAAAAGTTGACGCTAAAAATTAATACAGAAATGCAAAGGATTTAGAATAGCCCCCAAAATATTTTTTCTAATGACAGATCTCAATACCTGATATGTAAGAAAGCTGTAGGCTCTAAGATGGAGTATTGGCATAAGGGTAGACATAAAGTATAGAAATAAGACATGATATAAAGTATAGAAATTGTACCCCAGACCATGGTCAGCTGGTATTCGATAAAAGGCACCAATATATTTTATGGGGAAGGGAAAGGTTTTTCAGCAAATGGTAGTGACACAGTTAGATAAATGTGTAGGGGGAAAAGTGAACCTCAGCTTCTATCTCACAGTGCATACAAAAATTAATTTGAGATGGCTGATAGATATAAATGTAATAACAAAAGCTATGAAGATTTTAGAAAAACAAAACATTATCTTCACAACTTTGGGGTAAGCCGGGATTTCTCAGCTTACCTAAAGCATGAACAAGATGAGCCAAATTATTCAATTGTACATCTTCAGAATTAAAGTTTTCTGCTCATCAAAATATACCATCAAGAAAATGAAAAACTACAAAGCATGTCTCTGACAAAGACCCTGTCTGAATTCGGATGAAGCAGCATTCACGAGGCCATATTACGATTTTACATCGCTCACTGCTGGGTGGAAAATTGGTTAGAAAAGAAAAAGGTGCAAGCAGCTGAATTAGAGTTGTGCTACTTTCTGCTACCATTTGATTTTCCTTTTTAAATCGATTCTTCAAAGATTCAATGATAGAAATAAATGATCTACATTCACTTCTAATGATTCCCTTCAGGTACTTTGAGGCAAACAAACTCCTGAATTAGCTTATCTTTTCTGCTGACTCAGTTTCTAAACCATGCGAAGAAGCCTTCACTTACTCTGTAGAGGAGACTGCCACAAACCACCTCTTTGTGACCAACCTGACAATTGACCAGTCATTTTGGTAGCACCTAATGGCACTGTGGTATAAGTGTAGGGTTGCTAGGCACAGGTCAGAAGTTCAAACTCACCAGCTGCCCAGTGAGAGAAAGATGAGGCTGTCTGCTCTTAAACATTGACAGCTTCAGAAACCCTATGTGGGGTGACTGTCAGTCCGAATCTACATGAGAGAAACAACAGGCCAATAGGCTTAGCCAGGAGTGGTTTGTTTGTTTCTTTAATATTTCTAAAGAGCTGTGTTAGAGGTTTCTTCACAACACCTGAGGCAGTATAGGTGGAAATTGGATTTGGAAAACTAGTTTGGTTGTTTTTGCCATGTACTCACCTTTTTCACTCCAGCAATTGTGTGGGTGAAGTTTAGCACATCTTTATCAGACAGGCCCTGGCCCATTCCTGGGTGACTCAGCAAACTGCACAAGCTGTGGTTTTAGAGAACATTAACATGGGGGCAGGGCCGGGCTCAAACGGGGATAGTAACTGAATCTGTAGCTGCTTTATTTAAAAATTCAAATGGAGGGGCCTTTTCAAAGCTAAGAAGCAGCCATTTAAGGTGCATCTGTCTCTCCATGTCCAAAGCAGAGCAGAGTGGAGAAAATCAAGGCCGCGTGTCAGCAGTTTGTTCAAAGAACTGATGAACAATGCAAGCCTCCTCCTCCATGGCCCCAAGACCAGAACTCGATGGTGCCTGGTTCCCTTTGCCAGCCACTCCAAAAGGGATCACCATAGGACTTCCTGGGTAGAGTGGGAGTAAAATGTGGAACAAAACTCCAAATTAGGAAACAGATCAGGCTTAACTGGTTTGATAGAGACTCTGGCCCTTAGTCACCACCCTTCATGCTGGAAACTAGGACTCAATTTTCAGCCAAACAAGAGACAGGCCTATAAGGGTAGCACTAACAGCAGGAAGGAGCCACCCCTTAAAGGGCAGCATCTGCCCAGGGAATGTTTGGAACAGAATAGGGCCTTCTGCCCTGACTGCTAAGGGAATGAACTAAGAACCCTGTGAAAACAGGCTTGGTAAACATTTAACCTGGAAGCCAGGCCCTGGCACGGGACTGTACTGGAAGATAATTCTGAAAGAATGCTGAGATAAATTTGAAAGAAACACGTATGAGACCCAAGACCTACTAATTAGAAAGTTGCTTGACCATCTGCAGAGCAGCAACCCCCACCCTTTGGAAAGTGCCATTTAAAAACGAAGCTTTCCCCTAGAAGAACTCCCTTCTCAACTCATCAGGGGGACATGCTTCGCCTCCAGAATGAAATGTATCTATGCTCAAGGGGTCCTTACCTTGTGGGGAGGGCACGCGCTCAACCCCGTTATCTCTGGACCGTTATAAACCCTATGGGTAGGTCTGGAACTTGCTAGTTAACCCATGGATGACAACCCAGGCACTGAACCCTCTGTGATGGCACACAGAATGGGTAGGGAAGGAGGACAAGTGGGAGCAGTCAACACAGGAGGGACCGGGAAGAGTCCTGTGACATGAAGATTGTCATCAATGTCACAAAGCAAAGTGTATATGAACTGTTGACAGGAAAAGGGATTTGCTCTGTACACTTTCACTTGAATATTTAAAAAAAATCAAAATCTTGAAGCAAATGTGATAAATGTAAATTGTCAACTATGAGTGCTGGTACATAGTAAAAGGCGCCATAGCGGCACAGTGGTTAGAATGCTCAGATTGTCAACTGAAAGGTCAGTGGTTCCAGCCCACCAGCAGCTCCACAGGAGAATCAAACAGTGGTCCACCTCTGTAAGATTTACAGCCTTTTGGAAAACTAATTTGCTGTGTAAACAGTCAT